TAGCTGTGTCTGTATTTGTTTATGCAAGTTGTGTGTGTTTGTATATACACATGATGTGAATATGTGTATTATTATGTACATACATGTATATAAGTATAATCCTTTGGTTTATATTAGGAGTCACTGGGAGAGTGAAATGGGACAGTGACAGTGTAGCCCTTTCCTCTCCATCTCCAGTTCAGTGTAATGAAGTGATTAGTAATAATAATTATTATTATAAGGTGATTGACCTCAACTCCTCATCTACTAATAGTACAGTATTTCTACTATCATCAACTAAACTGCATACACTAAACCTGAGGAGACTTGTGATACAGTTCACTCCATTAACTAATGATTGTATCCAGTACTTGTGTATACTGCTAACTAATAATAAAACAATACAAGAACTAGTCATCAGGTTCCACTCCATTGGTGATAGAGGAGTTACTAATATCTGTCAAGCACTTGAACACAACTCTACACTTACCTCATTAAATCTTTATTGTAATCCTCTCATCACTTCTACTAGTGGACAGGCTCTTTCTCACCTCCTCCTCAATAACTCATCACTAGTTGAACTGAATCTATGGAATACTTCATTGTCTACTGAGTCAATACTACTCATCCTCCAGTCACTAATGGATAGTAAGAATATAAGGAGACTCATACTAGACGAGCGACACAAAGAGACTTGTAATAATACTTATCCTAACTATCACCTCATACAAGACAGAGTAGATTGGTGGTAACTAATCCCTCTTCATGTGAACTTATTAATAATCTCTTGATACAACAATTATTATACCAAGTCAGTTCATCTTCACCAATAAGCAACCAATCAGAATACACTACTTTACATGATAAAAGGTGGACCAGTGACACATTATATTATCATAAATCTAACACATGAACATCTCTTAATCTCTCATCAATCTCTCTCTCTCCTTCTCCAGTATATACTGTACATTCCTTCTCTTACTGACACACACTTATGTCACTGTCTCTCTCTTTGTTGTCATCATTTCTTTCTATTTCCCTCTCCTTTATTTCTATCTCTCCCTCAGTCTTTAATAACTTTTCTCTAGCTGACCTTCCTCCATTTCAGCAAGTCAGTCTTGTTTCCATTCTCAATACATTTCTCTCAAAAAGGAGCAGATAAAAAGAAAAAACAAGGAAAAAAATAAAAGCACAATAATAATAATAATAATGATATAATTTTTACTAAAAATGTTTATAAAAGAGAGATGATAAAAATATTTAAATATGCCCGCACAGTTTAACCAGTACACCAGAATCCTGAGAATGACCAGCTGGAGAAAGAGAGAGAGGAAATGACAAATTACACACACA